TCATGAACCACATCTAGATTCAACGGAAAACTATTATTCGAAAATGCTGAAACTCAAAACGGATGTGGCATTTTTACATTGTTGGCTGATGCATAAAAACCGAGCTAAATTCATGGTCTTCCAAAATTCGGCAGAAATAGTTCTTCCACTTTCGACAACATTGGAGAATCCTGTTTATATTTCTGAATTCACCACGATGTTCGAAGCACATCGTGTCGACGGATATTCAATTTTGGAATATAATGCGAGGATAACAACTGATAAAAGATTGGGAGACTTTCTAGATTTCTCAATACGACAAGCTATCGAATCTTCAAAAATTGAAGAATCGAATGGAAACTCTAAGAGCATGGGTTAGGGAAATGGTTGGTCTAGAGTGGTCATTCCGGGGGTCGTTCTATTAGGAGTTTTACGGTATATGAATTATGTAATTTTAACGGACCTCTCTGTCCCAACAGAGTTGCTCTTCATTAGTTATCTTTTTCCGTACCGTATTATCTCTAATAGTAGCCCACCCAAGCTGTCAAGTTTGAGCTTAATTATCTCGATTTTCTCAAACGTTTGTCAAATAATAAATTGTTTGTCATAATAGCACCAATATTTTTTCAGTTGACCAAATATTGATATTTTTCATAGAAATCGAGATGATTGAGCTCAAAGCTTACAGTTTGGGCGGACTAATATAAGAAGAGATACATATGGTATTTATTTATTTATTAGTATCTATCTCAAACTTTCTGCCTTTCATAGAAATGCCTTGTTATTGGTAAATCATCCACTCAGATTTTTTTCTCGAAAATCGAAATCAAATACTTTCTAAAATCCACCTCGATCCGATTTCGGGATAACCTTTAAACTTTTTTCTCGATTTTTTTCTTTGCATTGATTATTTTTGTTGCTCTCAATGGTTTCTTTTTACTCTTCTTCTTTTTTTTGCTTTTCTGTTCACACAATGTCCATTGTTTATTTGTTTGCGAAACTTTTAAACCAAAGTTTGCAACACAAAAAAGTGGAAAAAAGAGGGAAGGGTAAAACGGAAAATCGAGCTTTTTCTGTTAATTGAATTAGAAAATAACTTTTGCGAAACTCATGGAGTTGTTTTTTTGGTACTTCGAGGTCTCCCGTTTCGTCCAAGAAACTCAGGAATATTTTGAAATTTTTGCATGGTGTCGATGTGTCATACATAAAACCATAAAATCGTTCAATTGTTCTAAATTTATAAAAATATTGTATATATTTTATTCCGTTCTATTTTTTCCTGGACTCTCTCTGCTGCTTACTTTCCGGTTTGTGTAGGAAGCGAGAAAGTAATCGGATACCGTTGCACTTCCCCTTTTGTTAAGAAATGATTCATTTGTGTACTTCTCCAGTGATTTCATTATTATTTGGAGAATACCGTTCTGTGTCAATTTTCCGTTTTTTTCCAGTTTTTAAAGTTTCAATATTTTTTCTGTTGCGATACCGGGTGGCACTTTCGACACGGCAAATCGTATTAGACGATAATTGATAAAAACTGATTCGTTTCATATGCTTTTAATTTTTATAGTACAATTTTCGATCAAGCTGAATTCTAGTAGATATGACTCACATCCATCCCGCGTTTTTCGCCAGTATCCAGAAGGCTTTTTTCCAATTGCACTCGACAATTTGTCAAAATTTCATCATTTTATTGTGTTCCTTTAAAAAATGTTCCTTTCCCATTGATCTATCTTTTTGGTCTAATTTTAATTGCGGCCGAAAATTCGAGGGTGGGCGGAGCTTAGTTCTGGTAGCGGAATCCTTAAAGGCGCATCGAAAGGAACATGTTTTTTGGTAATTATTTTCTTTGGTAATTATTTATTTTTGAATCGCGCCGAAGGCGCACCAGATTGCTGGTTTCATATGTTTCAATGATTTTGAACGTTTTCTTAAACAAAAGTCTGAACCAAGCAATACAATGTAATAAAAAACAATGTAAATTATTAAAGGTGGGGGGACATGAAAAAATAATGTTCTCGAAAATCCGTTCAAAGATGCCCCTCGAGGAGTTGAACTTGTGAGGGCGATGATTGAGGGTGCGGCGCCGCTACCGACTGAGCCACGCGGGCAAAGAGATAGCGCACGCCCGATTGCATACATAAAGGCGAGGACGACAGCTGTACGCAGAGTGACATTAAGCGTTGTACACCGTGCCGGTAGAATGCATACTCTAGCTACAAAAAAACATACTCTAGCTACAAAAAAACGAAAAATCTCCTGTCCCCCCACCTTTAAACTACATCGATGCAATTCATCGAAAAGTCTAGAACAAATTAGGTTCATAAATAATTACATGCTCCTTTACCGGACCTAAGCTCCGCCCACCTTCGAATTTTTGGATTGAAATTAGACCAGAGTAATATTGTGCTTTGTGTTTTAACTTAAACTTGAGAAACAATATTCTTTCAATTCTGATAATTTTATTCCTGATTTTTTTGTTCCACCTACTCCCATATAATCAAAGCCGCCGCGTTGTCTAGGACTCGAGCTCACACGGAGCTTCTCAGTTCTCTCGGAGACAAGAAGGCAACAACAAGATGCACAAGAATAAGAAGGAGAAACGAGAGGACCCAAAAACTTATTTGTTCAAACAACACCTAAATACACAAAAAAAGAAGGCGAAGAGGAGGTGGACAGTGTACCGTACAAGGAGCAAGCACAAGCTGCTCCGAGAGGAGCTCTGAGAGCCCTGCATATAGAATTACAGACGCAGAGTGTCAAAGATAAAAACGAGAAAAAGGAGAAGGAAACGGAACGATATATTGTTGTATGTTTGGGTTAGGCAGGGGGTCGAGTTTTTGTGTTTGTAACGGGGAGATAGGGGCCACTTTTACTACTATTTCTCCGGGGAATCATTTCAATTCAATGAGGAGTTGTGGCATCTCTAATGTGTTTTTTGGCACTTCCTATTTCTTGGAAGTTTGTTTGTCCGTTTTGCCATATCTAGGTTATTTCTAAGTTTGTAGCTTTGCAAAATCTTGTAAGAAAAGTCTTGTATTAAAGTTACATCTTAGAAATTTTTAGGTTTTAGGTTTTAAAGAATCTGAAAATCTTATTAGTTTGAATCTTCAAAGAATGACAGTTCAAAATAAAGCGATCATAAAAAGCTAGCTAGCAAGAAAGAAAAAGGGTGAGGTAGTCTAGGAAAAATATCCCGAAGGACATTTGGATACCCGCGAAACATAAGTTTTCGAATTTCTTGGGGTACGGGGATTTGGGGTACTGTTCATTGGATCACACTAATTTTTGTGAAAAATTTGAAATAACTGCAAGAACATGCTTCTTTAATGATTGTGAGGTTTCTGATAACTTCTGATAACTTTCTGATAATGTTTCCGAAACTAAGACGAATAGGTTCATCTCTGGATAATTATTAGCATGCTCGTCTATTTAAAAATTAAAACATATTGTGGGAATGAAATAATTGTATTTTCACAAAATTTTCTCGAAATTTTCTTTTTAAAATTTAAAATTTTGAAAGATTTTCAAATTTTTAGAGTTTTCAGTGGGATTTTTATTTTTATAATTTCCGGTGTATTTGAGATTTTTGGAAAGGTTCGAATTTTGAAATTTAGATTTTTAGGATTTGAGATTAAAATTTTTAGACTTTTCAAAAATTTGAGATTTTTTTGTATATTTGAAATTCGCGACTTTAGAAAAACATGAAGTTTTCAGATTTTAAGAATTTTTTCGGCATGAAAATGTATTCTAGTCCTTCAAAAGAACACGCCCAAGTAGACCATATAAGTTCAAACAAACTAGTGTTCCTCGTTTTTTTTATTCTTGACCTTATCACTTTCCGCCCATCACTAAATAAAACCCAAATTTCCGCTTCTTATCGTTCTTAACTGTCCGAAACTTTTCCAGTGTCCCTCTTTTCTTTTTTTGCACATCCTAACTTTGAATTTTCTCTTATTTTTTCGATGACCATCTACTAATTTAATCATGAAGCTCTTTTTTTTGTCTCTTGGGATTCTTAATGGATCTCACCGCCCCCAGTCAGTAGCAAAAGAATTGATTAAACCGAATTGGTCAAGCAACAAAATATTTCGAAACATTTTTTCTATTTTTGCACAAAAAGTAGAAAGGGTGAAAAGGAGAAACGGAAGGGGTTTAATCCATGTTCGGTTCTCAGTTTGGGATTAGTGTTTTGAGAAAAAAGAGAAATGTGGAAAAAAGTGAGACTCTCTTTTCATGTTTTTTCCATGTCCATTGGCCCATGAACCTTCTTTGCTTTTTTGTTGACTTTCAAGGTTTTTTGAACATAAGGAAACTACAGTAGATTTCAGTATTATTATTTTTTTTGTATTTTCGAACTTCCCGCTTTTCCTCTCTCGTCTGTGTTTCACTACAGGCTCTCTACTATTTCTTTTTATCAAAGTCCGACTGAAAATTCGAAAAATGGCATGATGATAAGCGAAACGGCGCCTCTGTTTATCTACGAATTCTCGGAGGGCGCAGCTGTCCACTCATCGGTTTTTAGGCCAGCAAAATGAAAGTTTCGGACTTTCTGAGAAAAGTTTCAGATGGATAAAGTTGATTTCATAAATTTTTTGATGTTTTTTTTGAACTTATTTTTTGCTTTCTGTATTTTGCATACTTCTTGCTATGTAATTTTTTCTTAAAATCTCCTTTGAGCAAATTTGAGAGTTCTAATTATTCTTTCTAACTTCCAATTTTTGAATTTTCCTGTGAATCTGAACCTTCTTATCTACTGTTCTTGGTTCCTTATCCATTTAATTCGAAAAAGGTATACAAATCAACCAAAAATACGAAACGAAAGCAAATTTATCAGCGAAAAAGACGCGGAAACCTTTTCGTAAAATTATCAGTAGTGGAGCCACTCCAAAATTACTACTACTACGACTACGATTTGTGATTTTTCTAGAACTTTTGGTCAACGAAATTCATAAATTTAGGTTTTATCTTTCAACTTGCACCACTGAAAAATGTCTAACAGATAAGACATTTTCAGCTTCTGCGATATCAATTTCCTGTCTATCAAAAATTATATTTTTCTTTTGTAACCCTCATTGGTCTCTCTTGAAGTTATTTCAGTTTTATTTAAACTTTTAATTATCAAGTCCCAAAAATTATTGAATCAAAGTCTGTTGTATTTTCCTAATATTATTGCAAAAAGTTTCAATAAAAATCCGAAACCCCCGAAAAAACCGTTGAAAATAAAAAAAAAGTGACGAATAGGGACGAGGAAATGAATGCTTTGAAAAACCTAGGCCACGGCGGTTGGTTTGGTTGGTCGTAAATAGACACTGTCGGCCACTCAAAAAAGGCGTACCACTGCCGTGGCCTAGGTTTCTCACTGCGTGGGAATTCAAATCC